TCAGGGTACCATCTAAAACATATTTAGGGGCCGAACATGCTAGCGCCCCACCGAGAGGTTGGAACTCTTATGATTCCTTTTGCTGGACAATTTCCGAGGAAGAATTCTTGCAAAATGCTGAAATTGTTTCTAACCGTCTTAAGTCACATGGATATGAGGCGACATGGCTCATGCTCTCTATTGAGTACTACGGAATATGTGAATATAAAAAGGAAAAGAAAACTTACTCTCTTCATTTTATCTCCTCACTTGTTCGCAGTATGTAGTGGTGGATTACCTTTGGTATAGAAGGAAGGTTCCAGGTGCTTAAGTTGATTCTCTTGGATTCGATGTGATGGATGAATGGGGGAGGCCAATTCCTGACCCAGGAAGATGGCCCTCATCCAAAGGCGGGAAAGGTTTTTCAGAAGTAGCTAAAATAGTACACAACATGGGTTTGAAGTTTGGAATACATGTTATGAGGGGGATAAGCCTGCAAGCTTTTAATGCAAACACCCCCATCTTAGACACTGCCAAGGTAATAACACTTACATCCACCACAAAGCACTCTTAAAAAAAGTCTACATGGCGACTTAATAAAAACGTTGAATAACCAAAGGAAATTTGGAAATGTTGAATGTACATTTCAGGAAACTCGAGAAATTCGGAGCATTAGCATTTAAACTTGTGTTTGAATTTTCTTTCTTTTGTCTTGTATCAGGGATCTGCATATGTAGAGTCTGGCAGACAGTGGAGGGCAAAAGATATAGGGCTCAAGGAGAGGGCTTGTGCTTGGATGTCACATGGTTTCATGAGTGTAAACACCAAGCTAGAGGCTGGAAGAGCTTTCTTGAGGTCACTTTATCTCCAATATGCTGAGTGGGGTGTTGATTTTGGTAATGTTAACACTTATGTTAAAGTCTTTGCACAATCTGTTTCATTATGGACTTTTAATTGTGAAAATAAAATGACTGAATTCCCTGGGAAGTGTAATTTTAAACTGTGTTTTCAATAGCTCGAACAATGGTAAATTTGTTTCCTTGCATTTTTTTCCAGCTGGCTAGAATCTTTCCCCTTCCTTAAAAGCTTGAGTTGGTAATACTCTGCTAATCTTAGAAATGGCCTAAGGGGTATAAATGGGAAATCCTGAGTAGAATAATAACCAAATTCCTCGCTAATGAGAGACATAAATTGTTATATTTTTAATCACAAATGGACAAATTGACCAGATAAAATTCCTTTCTATGGTACCATAATCGGAATCCTTTTGATGTTATTTCTTATAATTTCCGTTGATTTTTCTGTTTACAGTGAAAAATGACTGTATTTGGTGATGATTTGGATAAAGATGAGATAACATTTGTACCAGAGGTATGGAACAACCTGTGGTAAACTAGTCATATTGATGTTACAATTTCTGAAATGGTATACCTTCTGCAGGTTCTGCAAAAGCTTGATCGTCCCATTTTATATTCATTGTCCCCTGGTACCAGTGTGGCACCAGCTATGGCTAAAGAAGTTAGTGGATTAGTCAACATGTACAGGATTACCGGGGATGATTGGGATACATGGAGAGATGTCATGTCCCACTTTGATGTTACCTGGTGGGTCTAACATTCCATAGGATTAAGAGTTTACATTTCAAATGAATTTTCCAACTTTTTTCTTTACATTTCATTGCACTTTGCGTCATTATCTCTTTATGTAACCTGATAGATTTGATTTTGATTTCAGAGACTTCTCTAATGCTAAAATGATAGGTGCCAACGGTTTGCTGGGGAGGTCGTGGCCTGACTTGGATATGTTACCATTGGGATGGCTCACTGATCCAGGTTATAAGCCCCGAAAAATAGCTGTTCTTTTCATGCACTTGTTGAACCTACCGTTCTACTCCAAGTAGGTGACAAGAGTGATTAAAGCAAAACCATATATATTTTTTAAATCATATCAATTAATTATAGTGACAATGTGATGCTTGCTGTTAAGTTTTCTCAGTTGGGAAATTTTTTGTTGCTTGCTCACATGCAGTCGACCTTTACAGGATTTCTTGAAGAATATGATTGAGATAGATTCAGTCCTTGACATGAAATCATTATTCAACAGAAATGTATTTGGCCTTTGATTGTCTCTGGCATCAAATTCTGAAACATAAAAATCTTAATAGGCTCCAAAACTAATTTGTTGATGAGAAAATCGCAACTAATTTGTTTGTGTTAAGGACCATTTTAAATGTAAAGCATTTGTTTTGTTCCGGGCCGTTATATGTGAGGGCTTAGCTAGAATCAGTGAAGAACCACAAATAATTGTAAACTTTCCTGCATTATAGGTTCAAATGAAGGTCCACATAGAACTTCTAATCTTAATATCGATGAGCAAAGAACTCAGGTGTGTTTACGAGACCTACGATTTACTCTTTTATTACTTAGCACCAAAAGTACACATTTATATTGACCTTGTCAATTTATTTTCACAGATGACTTTATGGTCCATGGCCAAGTCACCTCTTATGTTCGGAGGAGATCTCAGAAAGTTGGATGAAACAACATATAACCTGATCACGCACCCTACACTGCTCGAGATAAACTCTTTTAGCCTAAACAATATGGAGGCATGTAAACTTCCATGGACATAGTGTGGGAAATTGATCCTTTTTTTTAACTAATAATTACTTGCTATTTTGTTGTTTTTACAGTTTCCTTATATTTTGAGCAGAAGATCTAGAAGAAAACAAAAGGTTCTCTCCTGGGATTTTTCCGAAGGGGGCATGTTAGGTAAACGAGCTTTGGGACTGACTACCTGCAAGGATCCCAAAGCAAATGGCTGGTCAACTAAAGCTCTCGATCAAGATCTTGAACAAATCTGCTGGAGAGAGAGATTGGAGGAACCTCCATGCCTTTACAAGAGAAAGCCTCTTCTTTCTAGGTAATTACTTTTATATATAGCTTGTTTCCTGTATATATATTTTTAACTCCTGCAGTTTTCTTATTCATTGTTGAATAACTTGTACAGGGGCGTAGAGATGATCTACAAGCAACAAAACGAGGGAACACTCCATTTATTAGCAAGTGATGGTATGGAATTATGCTTGGATGCTTCTCCAAGAAGGAGGCTTACATCGAAAGAGTTTGGGGGAGGTTCTTTCTCACCTTGCAAGCCGGATGCTAATCAGGTATCATTTATTTGTAAAATTACGGAACACAGAAGTCGGATGCGCGTTTAAAACCAAAGGAAGAAAACACAGTTGATATAATTATTGAAAATTGGCCAAAGGTGATTGATAAATATAGAATCATGATGCATATATGACCTTTATAAGACCACTAGCATTTATATACAAACATTTCCGATGAATTTCAGTATCTTGTTATTGATGACAGCTTTTCTAAGCTAGGTTCGGCGAAATAAGTCTTGGAACCTAATGCATTCGTTCTGGATTTCACAGATGTGGGAGTTGAATGCTAATGGTGCTACATTTAATGTTAACCGAATGTTACAGAAATCTTCAAGGTCTTGTTACCTGTTATTTTCTTCATCTTTTCTTTGCGAGTTACATTTTTCTTTAATTTCCAAGTACATTTTGATTGTTCATGCAGATGATGTTGGTTCGAGTGAAGCTCGTTCATGGATTGCAACTGGGAGAGGAGGTTCGATATATTTTAGACCGTCGTTCTTTTTCAATTTATACCGCAGATTCAAGCACGGCACCATTGTATGTTGGCGTATTTGAAGCTTATCGTCTTCGTATATTTTTTCACAGGAGAAATACATCTAGCGTTTTTCAATTTGAGCCCAGAGATGAATGTGATATCTGCAAACCTGGCAGACGTTGCAAAGATATTTCCATGGAAAAACATGCAAGGAGTATCATGCAAGTACCATGAAATTTGGAGTGGACGGTCTGGAGTGACGATCAGTATCGATAGCAGTGGAGAAGCATGGCTGTTTTTTGTTTGTTTTAAACTGTGTTTAGTGTAAGAGTTCCCCCCCCCCCCAATGAAAACACGTCTCTTATGTAATTGTGTTCTATATCTAGGACAATCCTCATGTTGTTGTATAAAATAATATAAATTAAAAATATCAAATAAAAATGAGTGGCTTAAATTTATAATTTATATATAATATATGGTTAATTAAAATATTTCATTATATAGAGAGAGAAACTATATTCCTCATTTTAAATTGATCTTTAAACTTTTGAATATTCTAATTTCATCTCTAAATTATGACTCATTTTAAATTAGTCCTTAAATTTTTGTATATTTTAATTTTATCCCTAAACCATGAATCTATTTCTAAGATGGTCCCTAAACTTTTAAATATTTTAGTTTCATCCAAATATGTAATTAGTTTTAATCATAATTTAACCTAAATTTTTTTCCAAACATATAATAATAAAATACAAGGGATGTGATTAGTGATGTGATTAGTATATACATATAGTTTGGGATGAACATTTCGATGAAATTAAAATGCACAAAAAGTTTGGGGGACTAATTAGAATGAATGTCATAGTTTGAGATGACTTTGAAATATTCAGAAGTTTGAGGATTAATTTAGAATGATATGGATGGTTTAGGGATGAAATTGAAATGTTTAAAAGTTTAGAGACTAATTTAAAATAAGAGTTATACTTTAAGGACATGTGTTGCAATTAAAGTCATTTATTCATTTGAATTAATGGTTATTTTTTAACATTAGTAATTCCATTTTCCATTTTCTTAAGATTATAATATTTTTATTTAAAGTAATAAATAGAAAAAGAAGAAATATTAATGAAAAATTAGTGGTTAAATTTTGGAATACTGGAAAGGCCAGATTCTCAAGAGCTTCATCCCGACCGTTCAAAATGTTGAAGTCAAACAGAATATGATTCCACCTAACATAAATCGCACACCAAGAATCCTCCTCTCTTATCTCTTATTGGTCCGTGCATTTCACTTCCCTTGTAGCGCGCTTAACATTCTATCAGTCCATTCCCCTTCGCTCCAATAAAAGGCATTATGCTCAAAAATTTTAGTTTCCTTGGTACGAATTTCCTCGAACAAGAAGGGGAAAAAAGAAACTGTAATACGCTCTAACCTTCTTCGCATGCAGTCGGAGTTCCGGCTACCTTAACGGAGCCCTGTTCAATTATCCACAAATTTCACTCCCTTTTAGATCTCTGTCCTATTTTTTTTTTAAATCAGATCTCAACTGAACAAAGTAATTAAAAAAATAAGAGGAAATTATATAACTTTTTTCCGAAAATGTCTAAACCCTGGGGTGGCCTCGGCGCGTGGGCCGCCGAGGCCGAGCGAGAAGAGGCGGAGGAACGTCGAGCTGCGGAAGCAGCGGCTGCTTCTGCTCCCATGGCTGATTCGTGGAGTTTTCCTAACCTAAAGGAAGCCGTTAGTGCGAAACCCAAGAAGAAGAAAATGACTCTCTCGGAGTTCAACAGGGTGACTAATTCGTCGTCCGGAGGCGGCGGCGTCGGTGTGGGTGCTAGGGTAACGGATTACAACAAGCTGACACCCGAAGAGATGATGCTCCTCCCGACCCGACCCAAAGAACGTACGGCTGGTGAAATGCATTATGGCCGTCTGGGAGGAGGATTTTCGTCTTATGGTAGGCCCGGTCCATCTGCGGGTCGGGGTATGCGTGAACGTGACGGAAACGACGGGTTATGGGGCTCCGGACGAAGGCAGTTCGGAGGTTTTGATGAAGAACGACGCGGTCCACCTTCTAGGGTTTCTGATTACGATCAGCCATCGCGTGCTGATGAGGCGGATAATTGGGCAGTGGCGAAGAAAACAACTCCTTTATTTGATTCGGGCTGTCAAAACCGATACGGTGGACTTGGAACTGGGGGAGGTGTTGGAAACTCTAAGGCTGATGAGGCTGATAATTGGGCTGCTGGAAAACGGCCAATTCAGGCTCGACCTTCAACGTTTGGTTCAGGTTTTCGTGACTCTGGACCGGAGCCTGATAGATGGATCCGAGGTGGTGGTGGGGGTGGATTCAGGGAGGAAAGGCCTAGATTAGTTTTGGATCCTCCTAGAGGGGAAGTGAATGAGTCAGCTGTTAAGACGAATAAACCTAATCCTTTTGGGGCAGCGAGGCCAAGGGAACAGGTGTTGGCGGAGAAAGGATTGGATTGGAAGAAACTAGATTCTGATATTGAATCAAAGAAGGTATCTAGCAGGCCTACAAGCTCTCACTCCAGCAGGCCATCGAGTGCACAATCCAGCAGGTCTGAAGGTCCCCAGCTTCAAGGGATTGAAAATGTAGTTAAGCACAGGCCAAAGGTCAATCCGTTTGCAGATGCTAAGCCTAGAGAAGTTTTGCTGGAAGAGCGGGGGAAAGATTGGCGGAAGATTGATCTTGAGTTAGAACCTCGAAGAACAGACAGGTTTCCATGTCGTTTCTCTAATCATTTTATTCATAATTTAATTTCGAAATAGTCGTTATATGGTTTTGATTGAATTGATTTTGATCAGTTTCCTTTAATGCTGTTGGTAATATGATGGTTTCAGTGTTGCTCAAGTTCTTAGCGTATTTGCTTGGTTAAATTGCCTTGTTGTTACCACTTTGCTGTCATTGCTGATTGCTTTATACTCCCTAATTAGTGGGCATACTATGTTGTCCATCAGAAAACATGTGTTACTAAGACTTTGAAATTGATTTAGGACAGTTCAAATAAACCATATGATGACTTTTGATTATCATCTTAGGTTTATGGAATGATGCTGCACAATCATTCTTTGGACCCTTGACCATAGTTCATGATCAGCTTATTGTCATGAATTTAACTAGGGGTGAGCATTTGATCAAGTTGAGTAAACAAAATTGAGTTAGTGAAGTTGACGAGATTCAAATTTTATTTGAAACTTTTTCAAGTTGAGTCAAGTTTATGAAATTCAAGTCTAGTCAAATAGAGTCAAGTTTTCGAGTTTCTGTTCAAATTTTCGAACCGAATCAAATTTTCGAGTTTTCTAATCGAATCGAGTTTTGCTGACCCCTAAATTTTAGGTGGCATGTGAATTTCTCTGGTACCATAACATTCTTCTGTCTTTTCTCTGTAGAGGTTTGAATTTCTCCTGTACCCTAACAGATTATGTAGTTATTTGAGCAGAATACTTTTTTAAAAAAATGATACCGTAGTGACTAAAGTAGTTGATATTGGAACCTAGGGCTCCATTTTGGAAACTAATTTTGGATTATGTATGAGTTCCCAACAGATGTGTTGCTTCTCAAAGTTTAAGCAGCTTTTTTCATACATTAAATTTACATGTAAAATTGTTTCATTTATGAAAATGTTGCTTGGTCTAGTATGACTGAAGTATTGTCTTCGTTATGGTACCGTAAGTCTAGGGACATGTTGAATACAAAACTACTGTTAATTCATTTGTTTTGTAGTTAGAGGAGAAATTTTTTAAAAAAATCCTGTCCTTTTCTTGCCAGGGCTGGGGATGCTTCTTTCTATTTTCTTTTTCTTGACAGAAAAGCTTAGTTAGCTCTATCTATGTTCCAAAATTTGGTTATACATTTGTCAAATAGAAAAATGTAAAATTTCAATGTAGCTTTTAGTTTGTTATCTCTGCCACTTGATTGCTTTCATGTGCAGGAGATCAACAAAAATACACTATCCTTAACACAGTTCAGAAGCAGTTTGTGTACGTAGCATATGCACCATTAGTCATATAGGAAAAAGTTGCCAACTAATATTTTTTCATCAGTCAAAACTTTATGATTATCTTGCTACACTTTCTTCCCATCCCGGCATTTTATTCTAACAATCTGCCAGACTTCTATGTTTCTTTAAGGTTCTTGAAGTTCTTATTCATTTTAGGTTTAATCTATTTTTACTATCATCCTCTACTTTCAACCTTGCTCCTTTTGGGCATCTTAAACCTTTGGTGATATTTGGGTTTGTGTACTTCTGTTTAGTGTTGTCTCTCTTTGGGTTGCCTTAATCCAACATCATTTTTTCCCAATTGCCAGATTATTAATGTAACAAAATTGCATGTTACTGCTTCTTTATCAACTTCCTTTCTGATTTTCCATTTTTCAGTGGTAATCGAATGCTTTGTTGTAGTTATATGATTCATAATGATTTTCTATAAGGTTGTCATCTAGATTGTTTCAGATGCCACAACTGTTCTTTGTTCTTGCTCCCAATTCCATCTTGACCCTTTCTTGCTCACAATCAACTTTTTAATATATTGCCTTGTACCATCATGTTCGTTTCTAATGAAGAAATGTTTCAGGCCAGAAACACAGGAGGAAAAGATATTGAAACAAGAAATAGATGATCTAAAGGAGCTTGAGAAAGATTCAACTCCAGATTCAGAATCTACTGGGGACCAGTTCACTTTACGTGAGACACTTCATCACAACGAAAGGGAATTAGAGAAACTTATCCGAGATATGGAGAACAAAGTTAGATTTGGGCAGAAAGGTTTCGAAAGGCCTGGTTCTGGATCTGGCAGGAGTGGCAGCTTCTCTGATAGACCACCCTCTCTGTCTGGTTCTAGTTATGGTTCTAGAAATATGGAGTTCATAGATAGGCCTAGGTCTCGTGGTTCTGTAGATGCGTGGACAAGACCTGCTGATGACCGAAGAGAATTTCAGGGAGGATTTCAAGGTGGATGGGATAGAGGATTTCGAGGAAACAGAGATTTGGATAGGTAAGGATATAAAACGTCACCGGTTAATTCTCTGTTGCCTTTCTGTTCTTTCTCATCCCTGTGTAAAACTGATACATCCTGATGAAGTGAAATATTTACCGTTGCTTTCGTTGATCTGCACATCATCTTCTGAGATGTCTAGCCAAATATTGGCTTATGTTGCTCTTCCATAGCTAAAGATGGCTATTGTAATATTAGATCGTACATACGTGCTCATAGAAATCAGACAGAGTTGCATGGTTAATGAAAATTATGTTGTTTTCTAATTGGCAGGCCAATGTCAAGGGAGAGATGGTGAGCCCCGGAATTGGCGTTGGTTTGTTAAATTCTGGCCTCAAACTTTTGACAGCCGGAACCAATAATACTTTTGTTGCCTCGTGACTTGTTTTGATTGTTCTCTTGTTTTTGGCTCTGGTAATGTGGAGCAATGATTCTTCAGTATAGGGATACTGAACTCTGCCATAATCTTATCTTTGAAACTATGTAAAATGGCCTTTCTTTTGTACACTTATTTCCACTCCCAATTTTATTAAGCATACGTTGTTGAGGTTCCTTTTGAAATGTTTACAGATATATTGTTGTTGAGACTCAAATCATTGGGACGTCATTTATTTATTGGGTAGATTACACCTTTAGTCACCAATCTATTACTTTTTTCTATTTTGAAACTAAATAGTGCAAACTCTACAACAAAATTACAACATACCAAAATATGTGCAAAGATGTAGTTTGTAAAATGTTTATAAAATAATGCAAAGTTTAAATCATGATATATAATCATATCAGTTGATATACATATAGATAATGAAACCTAAAGTTTCATAAATTCGTTACTCTAACATAAAATATTGTCTATATTCATGCATCGTATTTATAATTTTTTATTTCCCATTGAGCATGCATCGAACTCTACTCTTTTTCATTGTTTAAACGCCTAATTGCATTGCAGTCTTCACCAACTAAATTATCGCATCTATTGTATTATTAAGAGTAAAATAGAATCTCATAATTTTGAAGATTGATATACAAAAAAATCTTATTATATACAAATGACATCTAATTAAACTTAATTACAGAGTAATCTTCAACCACGACTTCAATTCTTGTTGGAATTTGAGTTAATGCATAATAATCTCTTTTGACATAAATTCTGTTAGAGAATTAACATTAAAGTCTACACGACTTCAATTCTTAAGTAAATTAAATACTTATTGAAGTATCATTGGATCAATTAAGAATTACTTCCTTTGTAACTGAAAACCCATTGAAACAAACTCTTCTTTTATGTCTTCAATCTTGATAGTACAATTGTTGAACCATGTTTTATAATATTTTGATATAATAAATTAAGGCAAAATGTTTTTTGGACTTGATTGAATTTGTTCAAAGTTTTCAAAAATAATTCAAAGTCCATTAAACTAGAATTTGAACTCAAAACAGTTTTCTGGGTAAGTAGTATCGTTATTGTTCTTACAGTATCGATACTACATGAGTAGTCTCAATACCAAAAGTAAGAGAAGTATCGATACTCTCTTGGTAGTAACAATACTACTAGTTGTTTTTCAAACTGTTCAAATTTCAGAATGCAAAATTGGTACCGATACTACTTTACACAGTAGTATCAATACTGTAGATGCTCATTTTGTTTTGGGCTTTATCCAAGTTTCATTTGTATTTTCATATATATATATTACTAATTAGTTTAAATACAGTAATATATACCCATATAACATGCACACTATATATAACTAAATGATTAGTCCAATAATCTCTTGTATTTAAACTAATTAGTAATATATATATATATATATATTTATATATGGGTTGGTTATTAATTATTATCATTTTTAGTTATGATTATATATATTATTATTAGTTATATTTATAGGTTGTATTATTGTTAATTAAATAGGTTAATTATTAGTGCGAGTGTTTGTATATGTGTTTTGGGATGTTTTATTTTTGCAGAAATTTCATCCCCAACTATTATAAACGGTCACAAACTCATTTCAACATATAAAAACAAGTTGATGACAATTGAAGAAAGTTACAACACCTATCCCAAGCAACAGAAATCAAGAGAAAAGCTCTTTCACTCTTTATTTTCCCTTTTCTCTTGTACATATGTGTTTTCAGCTCATTGCAAATCTTTCAATTGTATTTCTAGTGAGCTTAATTATTGTAAACACATACCTTTGTGAGGTTTTCTTGTTTACATCTTTCAACCTTTGTAAAAGGGGAGTGATTCTAGTTTAGACATTGAAAATCTAAGAATTTTGTAAAGGTTACTCTTGAGCCTAGAAAAAGAAAGAAAACAATTAGTGAATTTATTAGAAAATCTTTAGTGTGGAGCTAAGGTAGCGGATGTAGACTTAGTTTATAGGTCAACCACTATAAATCCTTGTGCAAATTGTCTCTCTTTTTACTCCATACCAAAATTTTCAAAAAGTCAATTCACCCCTTTTTAGCATTTTTTCGATTAACCAATAGAGCTTCATCAATCCTAACAACAATCCACACCAACACATTCACCTAAAATTAAATGATTGATCCATGATCACATCATCATGAGACTCAAACTATATCTTTGATATCAGTCGTTAGAAATTTATAAGAATAAAAAAACAATTAAAACTAGAACAAAATGAAGAAATCACATAGAAATGATGAGATTTACGTGATTTGACCCTACTTATTTCACATATGAAAAAAAAATCCACTATAAACATAAAAATCGCAAAGAGTTCGAATATATAGAATTTCACGTAAAACACTGTTTGAACCTGAAGAAACAGAAAGCTCATTGTTCTAGATTCCTCTAAAATGTTTTACGTGATATTTGGCTAAAATTATTGGTACTTACATTTATTTAAATTTGGTGTGATATGACTGGGAGTTGAGATGTAGCTTTCATGGTGTAATTTTCAAAGTTGGCTGCTAGTGAAGCAACGATGGAGTATCATACACTTTTACCAGTGTCAACTAATAATAAGTTCTTATACATCAACACAAGCAAAGCTGCCATTAATGTTTTTATGGGAAAATATGACGTTCCAATCATATACATTTTCAGCAACAAATATAATGTTTTATGCTAGACGGTAAATTTATAAAATTTGAAAATTTGACTCCTTCGGTCCATTTCTATACGTCTTCAAGCAAAAAAGACATAAATATGATTTAAATTTCATGGTGGTGATGCATGTTAGTGATCTTAAAGCTTACTGTACTATTTAATGCTCATTTTTTGAGAGAGGTGATTAATTCTAGGGAAGCCTTGCTAGTATTTGCAGCAAGGGTGTAATGGCAGTGGCAACCAGTTTATTACTTGTTGCTGCTTCATTGCTTGGTTCATCTTCTGCTTGCGAGTTTCCAGCAATTTACAGTTTTGGTGATTCGAACTCTGATACTGGAAGTTTCTCCGCAACATTTGGTCCGGTTCATCTCCCTTACGGTGAGACCTTTTTCGGTAAACCTTCCGGTAGGGTCTCTGATGGGCGTCTGATCATAGATTTTATAGGTAAGGGTGGCTTAATTCACTTGGCACAGATGTTTGGGAACCCTTATTTTTACATAGAATGTTATGTCACCATGTCATGGAACTTCTTTTGTTAACATTCTGTGCAGCTAATGAGTTGAAATTGCCATTGGTGAGTTCATACCTTGATGCAATAGGTTCAAACTTCAGACATGGAGCGAATTTCGCATCTTGTGGATCGACGGTTCAACCAGCCGATGGTAACTTAGTCGATGTCGGTTTCAATCCTTTATCGCTTGACATACAACTCGAGCAGTTTCAACAACTCAAACAACGAACCAATGATCTTTATGATCAAGGTTAGAAATGCAGAAACTGATATGCAGTTTCTAAGAAAATGAATTAACATTGTACTTGCTTGTTTTTTCAGCCAAGAATCCGGATTTTACATATAGGCTCCCAAGACCGGAGGAATTCTCAAAGGCCCTTTACATATTAGATTGTGGGCAAAATGATCTGGCTTATGGCATTACAACATCTACAGAGGAGCAGGTTAAGGCATCCATTCCCAGTCTAATCAGACACTTTGCCATGGCAATCGAGGTATTCTTTTATATCCATTTCGATTTAAGAGACACGAAGTCGAGAACACATATTGTGCTGTTTTTTTCACATTTTCCTGTATTTTCAGAAGCTCTTTCAACATGGAGCAAGATTCTTTTGGATACATAATACCGGTCCCCTTGGCTGCTTGCCTTTTCTCGTTTTACGTTCCCCTCCAATGCCTCGGAACGCCGACCAAATCAGCTGCATTAAGTCTTACAATGAGTTGGCTCAAGAGTTCAACAAGCAGCTTAAAGACAGGATTTCTCAACTCAGGGCCAAGCTCCATGGTGCAAGGCTTATATATGTGGATATCTACTCGGTTAAATATTCTCTGATTAGTGAAGCAAATAAATATGGTATGTTTTATGGTTCTGTAACATTTTCTTCTCATATTTTCATCAGTTACTACCAATTTCGACTCTGCGACTGCAGGCTTTGTCAATCCTTTTGTATCTTGTTGTGGTGATCATCGTGTCATATGCGGGAGGACGGCTGTGGTGGACGGGACTGAAATATTTGGGGCTTCTTGCAGTGAGCCTTCTAAATACATTAGTTGGGACGGCGTTCATTATACTGAAGCTGCAAACTATTGGGTGGCGAATAGGATTTTGGAGGGCTATCTGCCTCTCTTTCAGATCCCCACTTCCTATGACCAAAACTTGTCTATAAGCTCTCACATATCATTTCCGTGTAATTCGATTTCGAACTCGATTAATTATGCTTGAATTCCAATTGATCAAAGATTGACTTGACTTGAGCATAATTCAAGTAACTTACGAGCACGAGATTATTGATTTGCAGGCCAAAAACTCGTATACATCATCATCAACAACAACTGCATACAATATATCCCCATACACACACAAGATTTTAAAGATTTATCTGAATAAACTAAAACTACATTAGAAAACAAAGGGAAAAATGTTGATTTGGCAGTGGAGATCGAAGCATTATTGGAAAAACTTCCAAAAGTCCTCTAATCTGGCTTGTCAAATCTTGTCTTCCAGCTTTGTTCCGGGCCCTTGTGTTCCAATGGAACCTCTCAATTCTCAATCATGTTGAAAAGAGCTTTAATTCTCAGAAAATGATGATTAATAAAGTAAACAAGCATGAATGTGCATTTTCATTCGACTTTCCAGGCATAGAGAAATAAGCAGAACTTGGAGGAATCCATTGCATAACCAAAATCTCCTGATGCAGAATCATGTTCCTGATTCGACAGTGACGATGACGGAGGGGATGATGGAATCGGGTTAAATATGAAAAGCCCATGTCTCGGTCTCGGAGCCGAACCAAAGAGCCAATCATGAACATCCCAGAAAACTTGTAATCCATTTTTGCCAACATTAATGGATTCATTACCCCTGAAGTTCCACTGCAGATGCTTAACTTTAACTGCAAGTTTCCCGTCGACTCTTATCTCCAATACCGGATTGACTCCGTCAGAGTTGCATTCGACCGAGACATCATGAAAGGTTCCTTTGTCGTTAAACTTAACCCTAGTTGTGAACTTCCTCTTGCCAAATATATGTTCCCCCCTGGAGATAAAGATTGGTTCAATAATAGATGTCCTGCAACCTTTCTATAAGCATCTTTCTTTTGATCTCCCAAGAGTAAAATGACCTCGTCTTCGCACACGATGACGACATAGTAATCCGATTGTGGCTCAGTCTCTCCGTTGAACTTGGCTGCCTTGAGGTCCCAAACCACATAGACGGTTGTCCCATCGACAATGAAATGCTTGGAGCCTTGTTTTCTCCAGAAACACCACGGCTTCAGCTCAACTTTGCACCTACAATGCTCGTCGCCATCCAATCCTTGAATTGAAACGGATAGACCACGAAGTAAAAGGTTCCTGCACCACGTGACCGCAATCAAGCGACACTCACCGGCAAGCTTTGTTCGATACACCGACTCGAAAACACTCTGCCCCGATCTGCCTACGTTGATTGGCTCATCAGGCAGCCTCTGGTGATCACTAAACGAAAAGCAAGACGGAATTCCAATCGGATCGTGCATGATTAACAATTGTGATCAGAACAAAAAAAGAGTAGTTCTTTGATATATAGGAACAAAATCTTGAACACGAGGTCATTTATTCTCGATTGAAAATAATTAGATATTACCATTCTCTCATATTAATATTGACTTTTAAGACAAATAGTGATATGTCTTCATTTCGATTGGAGTAATAAATAACTGTTTTAAGGCATGATAGGTCATTTATTCTCGACTGGAAACAATTAGATATTATCGTTTTCTCTCGAATCAATATTGAATTTTAAGACGAAATAGTGATATCTCTTCATTTCTTTATTTTAATTAAAACAACAAACTTGAGGTATGCGTTATCAAAAAGTCGAGTTCGAGAGTCGATTACGCGTGGGGAATGATTAACACCCTAAATCAATACCTAATCTATTAATTAGTTATCTTTATAATGAAACTTAAGAATTCAAATTTAATTTAATTTAAAATACTATACTCATAATATTATGTAAATTATAAGACGAAACATAATAATATTTAATTATTTACTATTAAAAAAAAATCTCCCATGAAATTTATATTTTTGGCTGCTTGCTTTGAACAAGACTATCTTCTTCTTACGTCACTTGTCTAATCACCTATTCATAAAGTACATCGTTGCTTCTAATGATTGGCCCAACTTCAACAGAAAAGTAATGAAATAATTTTTACACACTATTCAATTACAATCCTTCCGATCAGAATATCGTAATTTACATACATTTTAGCTATGAAGGGTTGCAGGTGGCTATACCATAAATCTGGGAATCCAGAAAATCACAATGGAATCTGATTCCTAATAGGGTTGTCGTCTTCCTCACAGATTTCCAGGCTGCGAAGTGAGGAACAATGGTTACACGGTTCTCCGATGTCCATGTGTTTTGCTATGTATGCAGCCACGCAGTACGTATACAGCGGATAGCATTTTGCACTATGGCTATTCTTTTATGTTCAAAGTGTTGAATTTCGATCGATTGTCATCTCAATCATCTCTACTCAAATGATTGCTCATCGTTTTTGAATTTGGGGACTGACTTGAAAATTTTAAATTATGTCTCATAGAATTTTATAAATGATTCATTTTAAATTTTTAAAAATTTATCTTCTAACATAAAATCATAAATTTATTTATATCTGAATTTTTTCAGTTTTCACATTAGGATTCCCGACTCATAGGGAACATTGTTTATTATCTTTAGACTTCCACCATACATTAGTTTTACGATAAAACTTGGAGCTGTTGAGGAAGGGTGATTTTGGTTGAAAGTATGAATCTTTGCTTAGAGGAAACAATAGTAAATTTAACTCTAATAAATTACGTGATATATCAATAATCATTTTAAAGAATTATAATTAGTAGGAAAAATACGAAAGAAAATACACATAAATATAAAATCATTAAATATAATAATGCATTGACTTGAGATTGGAATGACTTTGCATAGACTTCCATAACTATAATAACCAAAGGAACACATTCCTCTCATGGACGGTTCTCGTTATAGATGTTGGAAGATGTAAAGGATAGACATTTCATGAGAATGCGAGAGACAAGGCTGAAACGCGGATTGAATTGCAGCCCTAAACACCCTCATCATTTGATTCTAATTTTTGATCAATTATGCTTTCCATCACTCAACTTTTTCCGTATCTTTATTCTAATCAACAACTTTAAAATTTGTCAATCTTATCATTCAACTTTTAAGATTAATTATTTTTTTTATCATTTCACTATTAAATCATAAACGGTGATGACATAACAATTTATACTAAAGTAATATCATTTTGATATCTTTAAAAAGTTAACTTTATATAATTTTTTTGAATCCTTATGAAAGTTGTTATTTTTCTTTTCGTTTTTGCGTTTTTTTTCTTTTTTCTTTCTTTATCCGAACCAACCTAAATTTTACTTGTCATCATTGACGACTAAGGAGCCTCAAATTTTTTTCATCAACTTGCTTCGTCCTCTTAAATGTAAATTTAGTTTTTTTTAAATAAAAAACACCTCAAACTTCATAAATATAGTGTTGAACGCTTTAATTTCTTATTCTTTTATTTTCTTGGTTTGCTATTAGATAAAAATCCAAATGGAGATATGTTGCTCATGCCCAAGAGGTGACTCTCTACTGTTGGGATCTCCAAATAGAAGATCCAAATAGAAGATCTGACGCCCAATATCCAAAAAATAATAATAATGATGAAGTGATAAGAAAATCAATCTTCACAATTAAGCGACTGAAATTAGAATAAGGTTAATTGGGTGGTTGATAAGTGTAACTTACCCTTTAAATTTTGTTGTTATCCACTCCACACATTGAAAGCATCGGTGGTTACACCAGTTGTTCACTTCCATTACAATGCTTCTCTCTGCAATAACTCCCCAACTGCTTCTCTCTTCGCCTAACTCCTCCACCAATCAAACCCTTCCACGTGCCCTCCACCACCACCTCTCCTCCGTCCCTCCTCCCAGACCCTCTCTCAATCCCCTCAACTTCAACTCCACCTCCCTCCGCCCCGTCTCCGCTCCCACCCTCTCCGACGACAATGAACCCCAACCCGCCCTGGTCTCCTCCGCCTCTGCCGTCTCCGCTTCCATCCGCAGAGCCTCCACCTCCCCCGTGGACTTCTCTCAACGGATCGAGAAAAACGACCACCACAACCACAAATTAATCATGCCTACCCCCGACTTCCAGCGCCTCTGCCTTGAACAACTCGACCTTTTTCGCCGAATCGTTGATCCGAAAGCGGTTCTCTCCGTTTACGTCAGGCCAGCCGGTAGCTACGTCATGGACCAGCTCGAGCTGCGTCGAGTTACGTCGTATCCAGGTGTCAAAACCGCCAACATTGTGTTTTTAGTCGGAAATTTCACTGTCCCCACCGGACTGCGGGCTGCTGAAGCCGCGCTTTCGAGTCAACAGATGGAGGTTGTGAGGGAACATAGAGCGGTTGTGTTTCCTATGGTGAAGCAACCGTTCGTGGTCGGGTTCTTGGTGGCGGAGCTCCCGGAGATGGAGAAGATGCCGCAGGGGACTGAAAGTGGGGACATGCTTCATTGCCCGACTCCAGAGGAGACGTATGCGTTGTCTTCTCCTTCTCCAGGAATACCTATGAAAAAAACATGGGAAATTCAGTCTCTTGAGAATAAATCCATGAGGCAAAATTACATATTTACTGTTGACCAAAGATCCAATGCCATCAATATATCTCGTACTTTAGCTGTGGCTTATGTTATGGATCAGGTTAATCACTCTCGTCACATTTGTCTGTTATCTTTCATACTACCAATAATGTATATGAATGCTCCACTTTGGTATCAAAGCCCTAGATTCCAACTCTGAGCAAACCACGCTGTTTCCTGCAATGATCATTCCCCTCTGGAGTAACCTGTGCATGCAACTCTATTCTAACAGAGCTAATAAAGTTTAGATAACTAGTAGTCGAGTTTGGTTGAATAACATCATGTTTGATCTGTTAAAATATCGTATGGCTCGGGTAGGAATTGGATACATCTTGCCAAGTCACCATGAAAAACTCATCTACCCAATTCCCCTTGATTTCTGATTGAAAAACTCTCCTTAGCAGACTTCAACTCTCCTAAGTTCTGTCCTCAATATTCTCAATTGCTTCACAATTCCTGTTCCCCTAGTTTTAGAAAGCATATCGGTTTTGTGCATTAAGAAGCTCATCTCTCTTCATCTGCACTCGGGTAAATTGAGTCTTAAAAGTCGTCCATGGATGTGAAATATTCTAGTCTATTCTACGTCATTCGGTTAAGTATTCAATTTACTGCAATTTTGATGGTTCAAACTCTAGTTTTACTGTTGTTGCTTTCTGTTGGGAAAGAGGGATTTGTGTTTTGTTTTTGAGGAGTGATTATATACCAAGGAAAACTTTCTTATGGTATTTTTTGCTGAATTTGTTTTGAGGAGTGATTCTACGTCATTGTTTTCTCATTTTGCCAAATTTTTTTGGTTATATGTCTAGAATGTCTCTCTACATTTTGTGACTTTTTAGTGCATTCCAAGTTGCATAGAAAATTGGTATTAACGGAATTTCTTCCACAGAAAGCTATTCTACTACAGCAATCAACATGGCAAAACAATGTCAGAATGGGTGCTCTTGTTGAGCAGGTAAAATTTGTTTCCTGCTGTAGATACATTTTTTCTTGCTCAAGGTATCGTGATTTTTCACTGTACTTCAAAATTTTCTTACAGATTCGTGGTCCTATTTCTAGCATACGGACTTTGAGTAAAATGCTATCCACTCATGTCAAAGAAAATGAGGTTATTTCTTAGACCATTCGAAAAATGTTGGACCTTCTTTTTGGTTTTAAGGGTTTCATGCTGCTAATCTTTTCACTTTGTTTCTTTAATTTACGAAAGCATATCTTGCAGATTTCTCGTGACATTGTTGAAGACATATTAGTGCAAGGTGACCGTATCAAGGACACCCTTGAAGAACTACAAGATGCTGTTCACTTGACAAAGGTAATTTTCCCATCAACCTTCTCATGGATTTGACTTCTGTAATATTTTTATTGTGTTACTAATATATTATTTTTATATGAATGCAACATTTGCACTTCTATTAACTTTCCCATCCAACTTTTCTTTAGGCTAATATAATGCGCTACAATGAAGAATCTTTGAAAAAGATGCGTAATTCTACTCATTCCCGCCCTGAGCCTCTGAGATCTCAATTGTTGCATGATTTCTCCGGGGATAGTTCCAGCAATAAGTCAGAAACCTCTGGTTTACTACTATCTCTAAGTACAACAGGCAAGGATTTAGAGATGCCAATGCCACCATTGGCTCTTGCCCCGTTACGAGAAAATGGGATCAGGTATGGAATATCATTCAGGAAATTACTTGTCCATCACCTCATAAAAAAGGAATACTAGAATAGTGCTTAATATATCAATTATATTCCAGTTGTAGACACCTCATTTACTGTTCAAATTTGATTTTAGAAATCATGTAGAAAATTGTTTATGATGCTAATCATTGGATACTATAGAAATTATAGCCTGAACTCATATTGTGAGCCTATGTTGTAATCTAAAGCTGAATATAGGCTAAACTGTTTATCTTTCCTCTAAATAGCCTTGAGAATAGATTACTTGGTTGCATTTCAATTGAATGCCATCCGGCCCCATCCCTTATTGGACATGCAATATATTTCTACTTTTGATTTCATTTAGCAGTATTTTTATTATTATTTTGATTATGCTTGTTCTCTTTTGTCAGGAATTCCTGCAATATTTCTGATGTACTCACTGATTTAGTTGATGCTGTGAGACCTCTTGCTCATATGCAGCAACGCTTGGTGGAATTTAGGGAACTCTCACAGCCTTTGCAAGTGACTATTGAAGAACCTGCTTTGCGCCAAGCCTTGAGCAATTTGATAGAGGGTGCATTATTACGAACCCGGGTTGGGGGGAAGGTTGAAATTGTTTCAACCAGTGCACCAGCAGGTGGTGCTTTACTGGTAATTGATGACGACGGACCAGATATGCACTATATGGTATTGCCGGAATTTCTTTTCCTCTGTGATAGCCTTTGTTTTCTTGTTCAGATTAGATACTATGGAATGCAATTGGTACCTCCTTTTTGTTGCTAGTCAAGATTCTAAATTGATTATTTTTCTGTCTTATTTTGGATGATGTCTTATTCTCTGTAGTTCCTCCACTAGGATGCCTCTGTGAAATCTGAAAGCTTTTAAGTTTTGAGAAGACGATATTTCTTGCTTTTGTGTTTTATCTCATGCTCACCATAAATGATTTGTTCTGCTGTTATATGTATTTGCAGACACAGATGCATTCCCTCACACCATTTGGTGCCGAACTCTTCTCGGAAAACATGATTGAAGACAACATGACATGGAATTTTGTTGCCGGACTGACTGTGGCACGTGAAATACTTGAAAGTTACGGCTGTGTTGTCCGTGTCATATCACCCCGGACCACCGATGCTGCGCTTGGAGCAGGTGGAACTCGTGTAGAACTATGGCTTCCAACCTTTTCTGCATTATCCGACACAAACAACCTTAGTCAAGAGGCATAACAATAAAAGTAGGATAGTATTTTCGTGTGATTCGACTCGCATGGTATTCCACAAAGTAGGGCTTATTTTGGAAGTCCATGCTCCTATCAATACATGTATCAGTATCCGACTTTGAGGTAAATTTGTATAGTTGTATTCTGGTGTAGTATATGTGTATATATTGAACAAGTGTATATATATATATATATATCAGGAAAATGTAATTGAATTTTGTGCAGTGTATACATACGTTGGTAATAAAAAGAAATATATCTTATATTAATCGAATATACATATATTTTTTAGTGTTTAAATATAATTTTAAGTGATCGAAAGTAAGATTTATGCTGCATCGTAATCTGTTCGGTTCAATATATGTTTATGTTAACATATGTTTTTGATATATTTTTATTTTATTTTGGCACCTACGGTCTATTTATCATACTATTTTATTGGATTTTTAAACTTATTTGGGTTTCATCTCTCACTTAAATATATGAATATGAAAGTTTCCTCTATTACATCATCACTCAATGTAAATTATCGTGATAATATTATAAACCGTTGTATTAATAGGATGACTGTCAACTTTTTATATATTTATTTTGATAATAATAGCAAGTAATGATAGTGTAGCAAGGCCTAACCCTCTCGATATCTCCTCCACCTAACTACAAGGTGAGGGGCTAGAGTCAACAGAACTACCTACAAATTACCTCCATTCGAAATTTAACATGAATCTAAAGGGATTCGATTTGTTGAACAAACCATGCTAAAAAATATGGGCTGTTTTGTGAAATAAATAAATATTATTTTAGTATTTATACTTTATTTTTATGTGAAATTTGATTCTTATTTTTTAAAATTTAATATTAAAATTTGAACATTTTAATTTAGTATATAACTTTTTTTGTTCATTTAAGTATGTGAAATTGAGAATTTATTTAGTGATTTCAATGATATAAAGAAACGTTGTTATTATTATTATTATTATTTAAAGACATGAGTTTAAATAGCTATAGTGTGAATTTTGTCAACAAGTTAAAAACATTATAAATAGTTATAATTTTATAATCACTTAATATTAAAATATATATTTAGGCTATGTTTGGACATTGGATTAATGCACAGTGCTTTGCCACTTGTCCTTTATTTTTTATTAGTTATTTCTTATACTATTGGAAGATGATGTCATTTAATGAAGATGAAAAAACCTCTGACGAAGTCAATTATTTATTTATATTTATATTTATATTTATTTTACGAGGGAGTCAATAATTCTTTCAGTTTTAGGGGTCCCCCCCAAAAAAAAAGCACATTCTTGGAATTAGTTGATCTTCCTTTTAATCTTTCAGGCAACTGGCAAGTGTTAGAAAAAGAAAAAAGGAATTTATATTTAAAGTGTGTTTTAATGAAGATTTTTAAAGAAATTTATTTTTATCTAAGAATTTATAATTTTTAAAATGAAATAGAAGCGAATTCAAAAGGAAAATAATTGATGGAAGGAAAAACTAGAAATGAAAGGGAAAGGTTGCTAATCTAAGCACACCAACCCCTACGTCTAAGGCTAAATGAAGGCATGAAACTTTGGGCAATTATGAGAAAGCATGGGCCCCATGTTTTTAATTTTGGAGCTGCCCTTCAATTTTGGGAATCTATATTATTTCTCCTTCCCTTCAACAGCCGTCGAATTTGAATGAATCTATGGCCTTCGGGGCTAATGCCCTCTCCTTTTAATTAATTATTTAATTTCACATTCAATTTTAAAAATTGAAAAAAAATATAATTTGAATGTTTAGAGTATATTTAATTAAATAAAATTTATTAATTATGATAATTATTTAAACATGTCATTCTAATTACAAGTAATTATATACTTTTATATCTTCCGAGTGAATCCGTTGAAGAATACTGACACTCGACTAATATAGTCAGAGATGTATCGAATGAGGACGGGTGAAGGCAGTTTTACCCTTTAAATTTTAAAACTATCGTATATTTTAACTTTTTTTTATATTTTCTATTGAAAAAAAATTCTTAGAATTTTATAAATTCTTCTATTTCTAAAATTTTAGAAATTTAATCACATATAATGAATATTTTTAAAATTAAGAGACTAAAAGTGATAATAAATTGAAAGTTGATAATTAAAATTAATTAAAAATAGTGAAAGGGTCAAAATAAAAAAAATGGAAGAGCTAAAGTAATTCTTAAACCTTAAGAAATAATAGATATCACTTATAATGCAAGGACGTGGTTAATGGTGATTGGTGAATGGCTGGTCAAGTGAACGTTGAAGAATTTGCTCATAGTTTTCTTCTTTTGTTGGTTTGGAAAATGCTGAATTGAACTTCTTTGTTAAGGAAAGTAGATCCACTGTTTCTAATTCTTTTATATTATTCAACACGTTAAATTAGACGACATATTATATGAAAGTCTGAAGTTTTATATGGAATTTTCAACAATTAAAATTCGCACCTATCGCACTCCTTACAGACGTGTTCATAATTCAGTTAAAATTGAATTATCCAATCGAATCGATTTTTTTATTAATTGGCTGATTAATTTTGAGTTTGGTTGGTTAACAATTAATGTTTTTTTCAAACTTTAGCTTTCGGTTGATTCGATTGGAAATCGGTTAATTAACCGAAATTATTAAATATTTAATATATTATTTATATATTACTTAGCTTTAGGGATGTTTAAACTTTGGTTGTAAGTGAATTAACCAAAAATATTTAATACTTAATATATATTATATATAAATTTCTATTAACCGACCAAATTAACCGAACTTAGTTCGGTTCGGTTAAAAATATTCGAAAAAATTTCGATTCGGTTAACGGTTAAAGAAAAAAAAAATTCCGGTTAATATATCTTGGATAGTTCGGTTCTATACCGAATTAGCCGATTAAATACCCCTAACTCCTTATGTATAAATTGAATACATACCTAAAAAGGATCCAGAAAAATTAAAATAATCATATATTTTAAATTTATTTATTAATAAATTATTTTTATTTCCTAAAATTTTAAAAATTCTCCCTATAAAAAAAATCTATATTCGTCCATGTATGTAAAATTAAAGAGGCAACTTAAAAACTACTGTAGTAATGCTAAACCCTATCAATAATAAGAAATTGAATATAAAATTCAAAAGTAATTATCAAGTTGTGAACTTAAAGTAATGGATATCGAAATTAAAGTAATCATATAAATAATTACAAGATGTAAACTACGTATTATATCACCTACATATTTTTTTGTAATTTGTTTTAGTAGTTTAATTATTATTTTTTTAAATCATATCAAATGTTATGTTTTTGTTATATTTTATCATTCGTAGCTACAAAATAAACAAAATTATTGATGTTAAAATTTTTAATTTTTTAATAATGATGAGATATTATCTTATAATAACACATTAATATCATTATTAATTTTTTTAATGATAGATCTTTAAACGTAACGTTAAATATAAATTTTAAAAACACTATATAATTAAAACAAAACTACAAAAATAGATGAATGAATATATACGTAATTGACTTGAAAGTGGTATATTCATGTTATAAGAATCATATTTTTAAATAATCATCAAATTAAAAAGCATTAAACGACATTTTTACACAGAAGTAAAAGCTGCTTTTATATAAGTAATGACTTTTTCATCTCAACTTTAATAATTTAATAATTTAAATTCTTAAGTTTTTATTAAATTTATTTGGGCTCTCAAATTTTTATTTTATTAAAATAATTAAAATATTTAAAAGCCGCTCTTTACAAGTGTATGAAGGCCAGCGCCTAGAGCGATTACTCATTTACTATTAAAAATTTTAGGATTTTTTTAATTAATTACTACAATCAAATCTATTGATAAACCATATAATTCAAGTTTTGTAAAATCTTATTATGAAGGTGACTTTTTTTAATTTACTCTGATCTAATCGAATCTTTAATTTTACTTAAAAATCTAATGTCTCTTCTCATTAAATTAATTTATTATTCATAAAATTATACGGTAAATAAAATACTTTTATTTATTTAAGAATACATTAACTATAATTTTCTTATCATTTAATATATAATATTTTAGTAAAAAGGCAAGGAAGTCACGTGTGAAACCTTTTTCTTTTGGTCCTTTACAGTTACTAAACACGCTTTATTACGATTATACTATATTCCCCCATTCCTACATCAAAAATAAAAAACAAAATATATAAATAGGGAAATGGTTAAATATATAAGAAAATCACTATAGATAATTTTTATATATATATAAATGATATAAATTTTGTTTTATTACTCAATTTATCTATTTTAATCTTAAATCTTAAATTTTAAAATTTACAAGTTTAATTTTTAAATCTTAAACTTTAAATTTTAACCTCTAAATTTTAGATAGGACCCTTAAACTTTAAAAAATTCTAGTAAAAAACTTGTAAAATTTAAATATTTATATATCAAATAATTTTATATAAATAAATACAATATTTAAATTTGTTATGTGTAAATGATATGGGTGGTCAACTAAGGTCATGATAAAATGGTTAAAAGTATTTTTGGTTGAAATGAAGTTTTTATTAACAAAAAGTCTCTTATCCGGTCCAACTAATTGTATATTATAATTTATCTATGTATAAATTATGATGTTTGATTTTAGTTATAATTATATAAAAAAATATCATTTATAATTATAATTGAAAAATATTTAATATATATGTTATGTAAAATTTTGTTTATATAAATCTATTTATTTTAATATTATGTGTTATATCTCATTTTCTCTCTCAATTTTCTCTCATTGATAAGCCAATTATATCTTTTTCTTTTTATCTTTGTTGATCGACAGTGACACCAACTTTAATTGGTTGTCGATTCTTGATATTCTTTATTATCATTTTATTTTCTCTTATTTTTTATTTTCAATAAGTATTCCTGTATGACACATTTTTCTCTGTCTTTATGACATGTTTTCTTATGCCTTTTGGCACATTTTTCGATCATTTGTTCGTTGTTTTCATTTATTTTTTTAAGGGTTAATTAGACATTGCCACGACTGATCAATATGATACGTATCTAATATATTGTTGATCTTCCATGCTTTGGATCTTCGGATTGGATTTGGATATCCGTTATGCGTTCGTTGATAACTTTTCACGTCACTTGATTCTGATTTGCGGTTTGTTGGTGATCTTTCAGTAACTTGATCCCCTTTTATGGTTCATTTGTCGATACGATCATATCTGTTTGTATATATATTTATTCTAGTTTTCTTAGTTAGATTTTTAATTTTTCCTTGTATGGTCCTTATGTTGCTAGTTTTGTTTTAATGATTATAGGAAATTGTTCTAATTATGTGTTTAATTTACGATTATGATTGTATATGTGTTATATAATTTAATATATTATGTGTTATATCTAAGATTTAATATTTTAGGTTATATAATTTAGAAACTAAGGTTTGGATTTTAGTTTATAAAATTCAAAATTAAAATAAAACTATTGTATAAAATAAATTTTATATCGTTAATATATCAAATAATAATTTGATTATGATTATTCTGAATAAAAAAAAGGTGAAGGAGAATAATGTAGGCGCTTTTACCCAAAAATCATCCTGACAGTAAATAATTATATGTCAGGCACCGTTTTGCCAAATTTTATCGATTTAGCATCCTTTCTGAAAAGACGCGGATCACTATCCGTGCCTTTGCGGGGTTTCGTCTGAGTTGGCACCACGTCATGAAAGATGCGGATGACCATCCGCGCCTTATCCGAGCTGGCGGCACGTAATGACAGGCGCGGATCCTCATCCACTCCTTTATGGGTATATAAAAGGCGCCTTTCATTATTGGTTCCGAATATCTCGACCTTTAAACTCTCCCCTCGCCTATAAATAACACCCTTTCAACCGTAAACATCACCACATCAATTCCTTCTATATTTGCTTCACCAATTCCTTCGATTTTTTGTTGTAAGTTAAATTTTTGATTAAATATTATATTTATTTTATATATGATTATTTGGAAAAAAATTATTGTACTAATTATTTTCTATTATTTTTACGGTTGTAAAATTAGAAAGTCGGATCATTCGTCGAGACATTTTTATAGATAAGGTAACAATATAAAATTATATTATTTAAATTATTATGAAAATTTTTAAATTTTTTATTAGGTTATATTTTAATTCATATATTATTTATTTAATTAGGTGTATTTTAGCTATTGTTTTTTGCAGATATAAGACTCTCAATCTTTCAAACTCTCGAAATGATGCGTATTTCAACTATTGTTTTCTATGATAGAGAAATTCGGGAAGATGAAACCGGTGTCGTGTTCGCATCAAATCATTATGTCAAAATATCCTTCAAGATAAACATAACTCTTGAGGAGCTGATAAAGAAGATTTCATGAAAGGTTCGTGTTGGAAGAACTAGAAGACTGTCCTCACTTCAGTACAGATTTCCAACATCGGTGTTTCCGTTAACTTATACATCTTTCGAACTATCGAAGGATGACGATGTTGCAATAATGGTTTATTCTCAAAATCATTATGCAGACACCAATATAGAGATGTATGCGAAATTTGTTGAAGTGTGTGATGTTCGTGGTATGTCATTATGCTCCCACTATTGGCTGGCTTAACAAGCTGATCAAGTTGACAGCCCAAATCAAGTAATATGTAATGATTTTAAATCGTTAATGGGAAATTCACATCATGGTGACATCCCATCAAGTTCAATGGGGAGACATTCATCATAAACTTCTTACGATCTGTACCGAGGTGGCTCCACAAATATTCATATGAAAACATCGCGTCCAGTTTAAGGGGAATGCATTCATATGCCAATTTCTTTGACATGAATATGGAGATGCCCTTGACGCAGCAATATGTGCAATACTCATTTAACATGATGCCTTCAAGCTCTAGGGGATGCATTCAACTGCGAGCTTCTTCGACCTCAATATTGAGATGCCTTCAAGTTCAAGGGGAAGGCATGCAACTACCAGCTTGTTCGACCTAAATATCGACAGTGTGGAGGAACCCTTATCTCCACCAGAAGAACCTCTTCGTGAGCCAGGTACGGATGGTGCTGATACTAGACTATTCGTTCACCTAGAATCACCATAGTTCAACATAAACTCCGATGATGATGATGTAGATGAAGTTCCGACAAATACAGTACACACTGAAACTCCAACACACATATATGGAGCTGACTATCGTGCAATGTACGGGCCAGAATTTATGGATATGCCTAATGTCGGTGACTATGAATTTAACTCATCAATCAATGATTGTGAGTTATATAAAGGAATAAAGTTTTCATGCAAAGAAGAAGCGGTGATGGCAATTAAGAATTACAATATTCGTAATTTTGTCCAGTCTAGAGTCGACCGCTCTACTACCAAAAAGTATGTCTGCCACTGTGTCCAACGTGATAATGGATACAATTGGATAGTTCGCATATCGAAGAGGAAAAGGAAAAATAATATATGAGAACTAACAATATATAACGGTCCTCACACACTGTACTGGAGGGATCAACCAGGATCATCCCAACTTGGACTCCAACATAATCTGCCAAGCCATCATGCCCATAGTAAAAGCAAGCTCCTATATAGCTATTGTTGTGCTGATTTCAGCTATACAATCGTAGTATGTGTATACCGTCTCGTAAAGGAAAGTATGGAATACAAAGCAGAATGTCATTAAAAACTTTACGGTGAATGAGATACATCTTACAACGAACTACCAAGTTGGGTTAGGATGTTGCATAGATTGAATCATGGGACAATTATCGACTTCGAAACTTTTCATGCATACAATAATGATTGAGTACTTCGTGATCAATGCCAATTATACGGGATTTTTTAGACTTACCCATAGTGCATTAATGTTGTGAAATACTGCAAGCCCGTGGTCCAAATCAACGGGACATTCTTGTATGAAAAATACAAGCAAGTTTTACTATTGGCAGTTGTCCAAGATGATAATCGCAACATACTTTCAGTTGTTTTTGCCTTTGTTGAATGAGAGATACAAATTCTTTTGTTTTTTTCTCATAAACTTACGCTTACATGTTATCACGAGGGAAAATCTATGTCATTTCAGATCGCGAAGCTGGGATTAAAGCAACAATGAATTCTTTGGGTCCAATGTGGCAACCACCCTATGTCCAACATCGGTACTGTATCTGACACATTGTTGTAAACTATCATGGAATGTTTAAGAAGAATGATTAACGCCAATTACTTGTGCGTATGGGTATTTCAAAATGCTATTTTTTATTTGTCAATCATTTGCATTTTTATGGAAACAAAGTTAGTAAGTTCTACATTTGATGCTCAGGTTATGAACTACTACCTCAAACATTTGAGTCCATGCTTCAAGAGTTGCGAGGAAAGAACGAGGAAGGATGCGATTACATCAACCTCATCAATAAAGAAATGTGAAAAAATGCATATGATGGTGGATATCGATATGGACACATTACAACCAACTTGACTTTGGTAAAACGGCATATTTTGGTTTGGGAGCGCTTTTTGCCAAGCTCGGGGGACAAGCTCAAACTAGGATGCAAAATAGTTATGTCTATCACCCTATATTAGTTACAGATCTAAAAAAAATGATGCATCAAATTGAATATCAGTAACAAGCTTCTCTAAAGCTTATTAATTGTTTTGTGTCACATAGATTTCGCGACCTCTTCAAGGGATTCAATTTTACTCATTCAGAGTTAATCTACGAGACAGATGATGCGACTGTGGGTTTTTTCAAGCTCTAAATTATCCATGCTCTCATGTCATAACAACTTGCTCACATACCCGTCAAGACTATAACCATTTTGTGGATCCCGTATACCTACTTTCAGAAGTGTTAAAGGTATATGAATTTGAGTTTCCCCCATAGGTAATGAGAAAAAACCCTAATGAGGTTCATAATTGGCTTCCGATTATACCAGATCCGTCCTTATTAAGGGAGCACAATCGTCCAGAATCTACTTGAATTCATTGTGATTGGATATTCGAGAAAAATCTAGAGAAAACAAAAGATGTGGCCATTATAGAAATATAGGACACAGTAGGAAAAAATGCTCATCTCTTTTGTCATCAAGTTGTAACACCCCCAACCCGTACCCGAGCCAGATCCGAGTCCGATGTGTCACATTGACTTTTCAAAACATTTACTTGTATAAAATAGTGAGTAATTTAAAATTTTTATACATGTAACTTATTCAAAAGATTTCCAGAACTATTCAGAGCTTAAATGTTTTTGCGAAACTGATCAGAGCATATACAATTCAAAACATTAATTACATGCCAACTATTTTCAATGTACATAATACATCTAATTCAAGACATCTTTTCTGATCTGATCTTCGGTAAGAAGTAACTGACCTGTCTTGCTCCACTTTGTTATTTACTCTTCTCACTTCTGTAACCTACGTGTGAAACAATCACACACTAAGTCTATGACTTAGTGAGGCAAATAAGCATATAATATAAATTATAGCTTGTAATCATGCATGACCAATTACTGCTATCACTCATACCTTTATTCATGTAACAAATCCCTATAACATCTATGCAATATATCATTACATGTAAGAACATATACACATACATATACTCATCACCCATCATTTCCATCATTAGCCTTATTTCGTTATCAATATTATTATCGTTTATATCACTTAATACATATCCTCTTATACCTAGCCTTTTAACCAACATTTAACTCATTTAATCATACAATCCACATATCATCATATAAATCATATAATATCATTCATAGCACAAAAGCATACAAGTCACATGTACTATATGTTTGTTGTTATTTCTTTATTAGCCCATGCACACATGTGAGAACTATGGATATGTGAGTCTATAGAGGTTGTGCATTAATGCCGTCACCACAGCTCGTATAAATACACCGAAGTGTCACGTAGAATTACACTGGAGTGCCATATAAAATGTCCCTAAGGACCACGTAGAAAATTCCTTAAGAATCATATACATATACAAATGATCAAGTATTTGTCTCAAAAGACATCACACATGTTCCAAGGAATACATATATGTTCCGAAGGACCGCGTAGACCCTCGACTCTTGGCATGCCAACTATACCTCTAGCTCTCAAGACACATAACATGGGCATTGTCATTTATGTCATTTCACATATTCATATATACACATAGTTCACTTAAGCGTAGAATATTTTCATATAATTCACATTTACATATCACATAGCTTATATACTTTCTCACGTAGTCACATAGATCCATGTCATATAACATATATCCAACGTTCATATAATCACGTATATCATATCATATAGCTTAGATCATTTCTCAGGTATTCATGTAAACATACA